TCATTATTAGAAACGTTTTATCTAAGATAATTAAAACTTTTTTTTTAAATGTGACCTTTGTATTCGTATTGGTTTATGTTTTTTTAATTAAAATTAATTACAAGTTATTTTGATATTTTGTGATGCTTAAAAATGTAGCCTACTAGTGTAACTTCCTTTAAATTGTAAAAAAGAAGGGGAAAAAAAAAATCAAATTAAAGGCCTAAGTAATTTAGTATACATATTTTCTATTATTACCTCTTTAAAAAAATAAATAAAATAAGCAATAATGCTATTTTGTTTTACAATATAAAATGAGCAATTTTGTTATCATCTGACAAGAGAACTATAAACCAAAAGAAACCCGTGCATGACTGCATGTCAGACATTCATTTTTTTTTTAAATTATATTTTGTTCAGGTCAAATTGAGACTCATTTGACCATGAGCACAATGAATGGAAAGCTGAAAAATGTTCTGCTTCACTTCCTCATGGGATTGTGATTAGGCTCACAAACCCTTATATGGGGCCCCTCAGCCAGCCCTTTGGCTCTGTAGACACACCGTCCCTCGACCCCAATTATTCATTCAAAGGGGAGTTCACCAAGTACACGGTTGCCCCTAAATGAAATAAAAGCAAGAATGAATTCGCTGTCTTGACTCAGTATTTAAAGATATAGATTTCCTTGGTGTTAACTAAAAACAGGGTACCTGATTTTAATTGTTTTGACCCCTGTTTAGACTGTACAACATTCCAGTGCAGATTGGACACGGTTGGACAGGAAATTGGCCAGAGAAAAATTATTTTATTTCTGATTATGATAAATGGCCTTTTAATTTCTTAGCACATTTGTGTGTGTGTGTGTGTTTGTTTGTTTGTTCTACAGGCGTAAATGTCTTTTTGCGGAAGATTGCAGTTGCAGCAGCTTCCAAACCAGCTGTTGAGATTACACAGCAGGGGGAAAGTCTCTCCATTCAGACCTCCACTAGTGTGCGGACCACTTATGTGTCCTTCACGGTGGGCGAGTCCTTCAACGAGACTACAGTGGATGGACGCCCATGCACAGTAATGCCACACATCTCAGAACATTATATTTTTCTCTCTGTTAACTGCTACACAAAATCATATTTCATAAGATTTACTATTAGAAAATATCAATGTATTCAATCTATTATTGTTTATATTTTCTAATACTAAATATTATATGTTAATATCGAACTTTATTTAATGGGGAAGTTCACTTTTATCTATACGCACAAACACGATGTATGTTTTCAACAAACTTTGAGACCCTTTAAAGATGTTTTAAATTAATATCTCTGCTTTTTGCCCTTTTCTAACAATTTCTCGTCAGAGTTTTCCAAAATGGGAGACAGACCGTAAAATCACTTGTGAGCAGACGCTGCAGAAGGGGGAGGGGCCTGAGACATCATGGACACGTGAACTGACCAATGATGGCCAGATGATTCTCGTAAGTGCACCACTTATTTGAAAAATAACGTTAATATTTTCAACTGAATTATGCCACTAGCATATAATATTGATTACTACCAGCCTACTATAATTAGCATCTTAAAAGCTCAACACCTTACAATAATAGATTGTTGTTCACTCCTCACCATTATAGTTCACATTATTATAGAAGTTACACTCTTCCCATTTAAGCCACTTACAATAAACAGGCTCCTCAATGTCTGTGTTTTTTTGTTCTTGATATTTTGAAACTTTCAGTTAGTTAAATCAGTGTTGCATGGTTGGAAATTAAAAAGAGCATTCTTTGAATTCAGAGAACAAGATCCAATATCTTTTGTTATGTTTAAGCCCGTCGGGTAAGGATCTTAAATTGTTCAAGCAGTTGGATGGTGGTTTCTTAACATCTCTGATGTTTATCTTCCAGAACATGAGAGCCGGAGATGTCGTCTGCACCCGTGTGTATGAACGAGACTGAAGGATCCTTAGATTTCAGTTAATTTATTCCATTCCATCTCAACCATGTCCGCAATATGCTAAAATGCTAGTTTATCATTGTGTAAGCCTGTTCCTTCCACGTTTTTTATGTTTGACATGTGCTAAGTTTGTGTGCCAGAGAAGGAGAGATGTTTGAAGGGTCAGAGGTGGTACTTGTATAAAGATGGTAGCGAGTTTGCATTGTTCTTTTTGGTGCATTAGCTGAGAAGTGTATTTATTATTGGTGTTTGTGCATTTTATGTTGCAGTTTCATGTACATGCCACAATGTGTCTTATCAATCAAAAATGTTTTTGGCAATAAACCTTTATACATAAAACCCCCAAAAAATCTCATGACTAATTCACTGTTTTCTTCTTGCCTGGATTTAGAAATGTCCTTGGTTGCACTTTTACACTTATTTTCTGCCTCATTACTTTTCTTCAAAGTGCTCTTTTTATCTGTTCTTGCTTTCTGTCTCCTGATCCAACCACTTACAGTGTTTTGAACAACACTATAAATTTGTATGTTATGAGTGTACATCAGTTGTTGAATTATTTCCTGCCAAAGAGTAATATGAGGGAATGAGGGAGGGGTATGGAAAGAGTGAGCAAATGTTAGAAAAGAAAAAGAATTTCATGTTTTTAAGGTTATATTCCCTCTGCTCTCTCTCCCAT